AAAATTTAATGGCAAAATAAATAAAGGTCTAAAATCAGGCTCCTGTGTCTGTATTTAGGAACATTATTATCTACGTGATTGATTTGTAAAGCTATAGAACGGGAAATAGTTCCTAGAAAAAGCAGTGAGATTTGCTTACAGCTCAGTACTTTTGAAAATTGTATCACATATCCTGGCCCTAAATAAGGACCCAGGAACCCAACTTCACCGGATAACATGGTAATAGCCATATAGCATCAAGGTCTAAAAAGGAAAGAATTGTTAGACTAACAAGCTTCCTTATCCTGCAGCCTTTAAATAGAATTGCTTTTGTGTTACTAGCATGATCTAATTGCTAAGTCATCCCTGCACATACCATAGGGTATGGTGACAATGTGTGTAGAGATTGGAATAACTGTGCTCTTAACCCAGATTATTTTGTATAACGCAAGTTATCCTGCTGGAGTACATGGCAGAGTTTGTGAAGTTAAAGGAATGGATCCTCAGTTACCAAAGGCCAGCTCTGCCAACTTTTAAGAGGTGCTGTCTGAACCTTTTGTAGACTGATGTCTAAGGAAGTCATTAAAAGCCTGATCCAGACTGAATCACTATTCTCTTATCCAGACCATAATGACATGTTTTCAAGGGTTCTTTTGAGAATCCCATTTTTCTTCCCCTTCTCTTCAAGCATTGTCCTTCAGCTGTCACTTTCCCTTTTCTCTGAAAGGATGGGCACAACTCTTACTGGAACACAGTACTGGCAACCTCTCAAAGTCTTGATTGCACAGTTTGGTTACAACCTGAAATTTCCATGTGCTTCCCTGAATTTTGGGAGGTTGAATGTCTTTAAATACTTGTTTTTCTTTGTTTATTAGATGATTTCCAGTATTTTCTGTGGGAAGGAGTGCCATAAACAGAGTTTTTTCAGTTGTCTGTTTTCTCTTCTCTTCCCTACTCCCACAAACATAGATGTGTTTAATTTTAGATGGCCGTTGAAAGCAAGTGAAGCAATTAAGCAAGCCAGATTTGAAATCCCAGACCGCCTTCCTCTGAGCAGATAGCTCTGACCATTAGGCTGGAGCCAGGCTCCTTCGTGTTTGTTTGAGTGGTCAGTCCTGAACAGTCTGCAGGAAGAAAAAGGAGAATATCTTCACACCCAGTACCCAGCAGCTTTGTGCTTAGGATGCAGGAATTAGGAATTAATCCTCCTCCTACTTCCTGAGGCAGAGGACTGTGTATTCACCCCTGGCTTTTAACCACAAAAGGTGGAATTTAATCCACCACCTCTCTTTGAGAGGCAGAGTAAACGTAAAGGTACTTGCTTTGAGGCCCTGATTTGAGTGCCCATCTAGACATATCCCCTTCCTTGTCAGCTGATTCTAGGTCTGTCTTAATGTACATTTAATTGTGTACGGATGTGTACATTCACTCTTTATAATGACTATATATTGATGCAGGCTTTTTGACTTGCCCTCTGGAGGACATGAGCATCATTAGTCTCTGCTAATCTTTCAGGATGCATCTGCCACATCCCTTGACCTCCCAAGAATCATCATCTTTTCTACCCAGAAAGGTTGCAGAGCAGAATTTGAGAAAATTGTGTTTGTCCAGGAAGTTTGATGACCTGGTGGGAACCACTGTGGAGCAATTCCCCATAACTGCTGGGTTCTGTGCAGCAGAGGAGAGCGCAGAGAGGAATCGTGGACCCTAGAAACACTGGATTTGCTCTGTGTTTGCTGTAGATCTGGTGATTGCAGGAAGTCTGACACTGTGCATGCCCTTTGCTTTAGCTTTGTGTCTGTACAGTAAAGATGTGTCCTAGAAACACTGAGGTTATCGCGTCCCTGCTACTGAGCACACAAACACCTATTTCTCTCCTGGAAATGCCAGACGGAAGTGTGATGGCCTTGAGATAAGAGATGCAGCTGTGTTTCTTATTCAGGACAATTTTTGCCTCTTCCCTGCCGCCTTCTCCCCCTGAAATTTTTCTTGTATATATTTCTCATGTAAAGAAGCTTCCTGACTACCTCTGATATACATATTCAAAGCTGTGAGGTACTTGGTACAGTGTAGGTGGAATGCAGTGAGAATCAGTTGGACTTCAGTAAAACCACTGTTCAGAATTGTTCCTCTTCACTTTGGGTAACAGTAACAGTAGCTGCAAAAACTATGAAGTGTTTCTACAGTGCAATGAACTAGTTTTGTCCTGCTTCCCTTTTTCCAGTTCTGGATAATACATACAGCCCTCTGGTTACCTTGTTCAACACTTTTAATATGTGAAGAGCTCTCTAAATCCCTAAAACTGGTGTTATAAAGCTGAACCCACTTGAAAGATTGCTTAGAGTTAAAATTAGTGATAATATTGCAGCAGGGCCTGTGCGTATCCCAGGAACGGGCTCTTGCTCTAACAACATGCAGTGTTGAGTTAAGTACAGATCCTGGCCCAAAGAAATCCCAGCCCAAGTAGACCAAGTAAGGGCACAGTAACAGAATATATAAGCAGTGTTCGCAAATGTTATGATGACTTGCAGTGTGTTTACTCCTTAACTCTTTAGGAGGGATTTGAAGGGGCAGGAATTAGTCGAGTGAAAAGAAGCGACAGGCTGGGGAAGGGGAGGCTCAAGATAGCAGAGCAGAAAACGGAGAAGGTATGTTGACTGTGAGAAACTACAGGGCTGAGGCTCTAGCAGGCATGCAAAGGAGAGGTGGAATAGAGTCATGGCAACTTCTATCCAGACCAGGGAAACAGTGGAAAATAGCAAAATGATCTGTAGATATCATCAGCCTGTGATGGAAGTGGGCTGCTTCAATGGGTCTTAGCCGCTGTCGGGACTGGAAATCCTTTCTTCCCCCAAACCTGCATGAGTTTTGAGATCCTCCACAGCAGCAAAGAGTTCATTCCTACACGTTTGTGGATCTAGGGACTCATCATCCGTATTTCTTTCTCCCATCCTGATGCTGTGTAGGAACTTGAATTTCCATGACGTAACAAAATACTCCTAATGTATTTCAAAGTAGCTTGCTGTTTAGTGCATGATATGTTGGAAGAGATGCCCAGTAGTTTTAGAAAATTAGGTATTTCTTCATTCTTTCTGAAGAACTGAAACTAGATTTAGTAACAAAATTCCAGAATTATTAGGTAGTTACTTAAATGTATTTACGGTATTCTGTTCTTTGAAACGTGGAGGTCCTATCTTTGCTCTGTTTGCTTTGCCAAGATTTCTGCAATGCAAATAGGGAAACTGTCAGGCAAGAATATTTTTAGTTTATTTTTCTTTCTCCTCTGAAGGTCAAACAGTCTTTCCTATATATACAAACGGCCTTTCCTATATATAGCTACTATGGTAGTTGAGGATTAATGCTGATGACTTTTGAGACTATGCCTCTGAAACGTGCCATGGTTTGAAAGCGATACCGTGTGCCAGTTCCTGTCTCAGGGCTATTCTTGTCCTTTGGTGTTGCAGTCTTTATTAAGGAGGAAGAGTAAGTTTAAATGTGTTTAAATGGTGTTTAAATCCTCAACAATTTCCACTTCTGGGGTTCTTAGAAAGCAAAAGGTGGGAAAGGAAAATGAAAGGGCAAAGTAAATAGCCCCAAATAAACTGGCCACCTCTCATTTTTTTTCTTTTTGCAACTCTGTACAACTTACAGTATAGTTTAATATCTGCTAGTTCAACACCAATTAACTTCATAAAGGTCCACTCCTTTTTGGAGAGCTCTGACAATACAGAAAAAGGAGAACAAGCTGCCTCCTTAGTCAAGAGTCTTCCTGGAGAGATAAGGACCTGCTGGGCTTAAGATTCAAACCTCTTCTCCAGTACTCTGATGCACTTGGGCAGAACTCTTCAAAAATGTATTAACTCTTCCTGCCCCTGCCCCACCCCACTCCCTGAGTCTCTCCAACCCTATCTGACCGTTATCTGTGTCCTGCACAGTTTTTGCTCTATCTTTGCATTTAAATTGAAATATATTTACTTTGGTGACAAAAGTCGTGGAGCCAAGCCTGTAATATTAATATTATAGGAAGAGAGCAGTGGAGTATCAGGTTTCCTAGCTGAACAGTGTTGGCAACTCTCACTTTGAGCATTTGTCCTTTGAATATTTGGAAAGCAGAAGAGCATTACAACTCTGAAAGAATGAATCCTCCAGCGTTAAAAGTCTAGTTATGTATTCAGAAAGGTATTGATCTTTGTTCTCAATGGCTGGGGAAAGTAACTAGGATCTTAACAGCAATTGCGTTTCTTGAAGGCCAGGAACGTGTTCCTGTCTTCTTTCACTCACTGGTGGCTGCCTCATTTAGCCATGAAAAACTGCCACATATTCCCCTTCTTTTTTTCTGCTTAAATAGCATGCCTGTGTCTAGTGGTACGTGGTCCTTTCACAGTTGCTAGTTTTGTCAATCTGTTACATTTCCTAAATTATTGTCTACCAGGGTTAACAAGATTGACAGTGATTCCATTATTAGAGGGTATCACTGGTATGTAACAGTCTTTGTAATTTTGTGTTGCTTGCAGGACAGCAGAAATATTCCCTGCCATACATAAAATCTTAAAAAAAAAAAAACCACCAAACCAAACGAGTAATTCCTTATCTTTAATATAGGCTACTGAATATGTTTTCTGCATGATTTCCTTATGTGCTGTTCTTAGAATGGAAAATGGTTTCAGGAATATTTCTTTTCGTGTTTCATTTTCATGTGCATGTGTTGGGAAAAGAAATGAGTGCCAGAAATATTGTGTGACAGATATTTTTGGTTAGATCAGAAGTGAGCATGGACTGATGAAAACCTCTGAGAGGATCTGTTTTTGGTGAAATTTCTTGTTCAATTCGAAGAGAATAAGAACAGTTCTATTAAAGATGAGATTTGCCTGCCCTTGAGTTTCCTTAGCACTCACACCATATATTCACATATATCAGAGATTTTGATGGTTTTTTTAAATTTCATTCAAGCCTGTTACTACTTTGAATTTTGATCTTGGTCTCTTCATCCTATAAGAGTTCTTTTTCTCTGTTTTTCACAGACTGTTTTTGAGAGGAACTGTCAATCTGACGACTGTGCTGCTGATTTGAAGCTTCAGGGTAAATTATTGCTGTCTAGGTGAGTAGGTGAATTTTTTTTTTCTTTTTTTTCCTTACACACTAGTACACCATTAATTTTTTGTAAGATGACATTGAAAAATCAAAACAAAAACAGACATTTTATATCCAGACTAGAAGGATGACAACAATGCTGCACCACAGAGGTGCAGAAAGTTCTTGAGATGTACACAGGCTCTGTGCATGTGCAGGGCAAGACACCTTCAACTTCCCAATCACAATAGACAAAACTGGAGAGAAAAAATAGCATAACAGAGAGGGGCAGGAGAAATAAAGCTGCATGCCCAAATCTTGTTCCAATGTGGACCATGTCAGTGTTCCAAGACAATAAAATACTGTTTATGACATGGTAGGACTAAAAATGCATGCAGAAAAGCAGTTTTGTTCAGAAAAAATGTCATTCCATATGACATTAAAAAAACCCCTCAGAATGTGGCATATGAACTTCTGCACATTATCTTTTTCTGTTTCTGAACTTGTGTAGTTTTGCTAACTCTTCTGAAATATTGCTCCCCTTTGTCAGATTATTTTTTGTTAGTAAGTTGGGGAGGGGCTTCTGGTTACACATTCTTCTGGGATAATAAACCTCATCAAACAGACCAGAGGTGAAGTTTATGTTCCGTCCCTTGTGACTAGTGATCCTAGGAAAATGCCTATTGTTTTGCCAGGATGTAGTTAGTCAATTTTGGTATAAATCAGGCTAAAGGTGAACTTTACACATCACTTCTGTTTCCTTTTTTTCAACATTTTTAGCACATTTTTAGAGATGGAAGTGCTGATGTGAGTTATTTGTGTGCCAGGGGTTTTGCTGTTTGATGGAGATGCTTTCTGTGAAATGCTTTGCTTTCAGGTCAGGAAAGAGAGGGGAAAAGACTCCCCTGCTTCAGGGGGAGGAAAAAAAAAAGGAAGAAGTAATAATCAGGAGATATACACACATTTTATATAAGTCTACAGCATGCTGTAACTGTACGTGGAGATGAAACTGAACCAGAGTCAAGTCTGAGAAGTAATGGACTTCTCCAGACGCGACTGAAGTCCACAGGAATGTTTTGGAGGATTGGCTGGGAGCGAGGTTGGGTCTCCAGTTACAGAGTCCGAGCTTTGGCTGCAATTAATCTGGATTTTTGACCTTTCACTTGATCTTCATGGTGAGCAAAATCTGTTGAGAGCTGGAGACGTGTCTGTGCAGACTAGGAAAAGAGACTAGGGATTTTGTCCTGTAATTGAGGAATAACCAGTGCAAAGCAAGGGACAAGTAAGTGTACAGTAATCACGGCAGTATACTCATGGTTGGAGCATTAGACTATTCATTTTTATGGCTGCTATTTATGTTATCGTGGCAATTAAAGAGCCACAAGTGTCAAGAAAGCTTAGGGTATGCAAATACAGTTTCTGCATTTGTCTAGCAAAAATGTTGGACAAATACTCTCAAATGTTCTTTATCCAGTGACACTCTGAAGTCCTGCTTGAAATAAAAAGTATGTTGTCAAATCCATCAAGTCCACACAGAATGGGTTTTCCTTAGCTAAAGGGCTGTGTAAGCTTGGGTTGTTAAGAAGCATAACACAATGGGTATCTCTAAAGAAAACAGATTTTTACAATTATTATTATTATTATTTTCATTCTGTGTAAAACTACAAAAACAAGCTATGGATTCTGATTTTAGTGCTTGTTTTGAAGAATATGGTCATTTTTCCAACCCCATGTATTTAGTGCTAAGGAATCGTTTCAGCATTTTTCCTGCACTATTCCTGTTTATGCTAAGTCTGTATACAAAGCATTTTTTTTGTAGAATGACCACAAAAAGTGACTCATTCATTACTGTCGGCACTAAACATTTGACATCATTGTTAGCAGGGTTATGGCAATGCCTTTGTCTAAATGATCACATCTGACTAAATTTGGTGGA